CCAACATGTCTAGCTAATTATTATTATTTTGTGTAGAGATGGAGTCTCTGTGTTGCTCAGGCTCATCTCAAACTCCTGGGCTCAAGTGAGCCTCTTGCCTTAGCCTCCCAAAGTGCTGGGAGTACAGGTGTGAGGTGAGCAGCAAGTGACCATTACCACCTGAGCTCTGCCTTATGTTAGATCAGCAGCAACATTAAATTCTCATAGGAGCATGAACCCTATTGTGAACTGCACAGGTGAGGAATCTAGGTTGTGTATTCTATATCAGAATTTAATGCCTGATGATCTGAAGTAAAAAATGTTTCATCCTGGAACTATCCCTGCCTCCTCCCTGGTCTGTGCAAAACTTGTCTTCCACAAAACTAGACTCTGATGCCAAAAAGACTGGGGACTGCTGCTATGCAGCATCTGTTTTGTTGTTGTTTGAGACAGTTTGTTCTTGTTGCTCAAGAATGCAATGGAATGCAGTGGCACTTTTGGCTCCTCTACTTCCCAGGTTCAAGAGATTCTACTGCCTCAGCCTCCCAAGTAGCTGGGATTACAGGCATGTGCCACCACACCTGGGTAATTTTTTGTATATTTAGTAGAGATGCGATTTCTCCATGTTGGTCAGGCTGGTCGCGAGCTCCTGACCTCAGGTGATCTGCCCACCGTGGCCTCCCAAAGTGCTGGGATTACAGGTGTGAGCCACCATGCCCAGCCTGCAGCATCTCTTAAGTGTTAGAAGAAGATTTGACTTCCATTAGCAGAAAGACTTAGAACTTCCTTAGCTTCTTCAAATTCTTGAATATGCACCTTGGTAAACAGTTTAGACATATGTTTACCATAAAACTCACCTAGATGCATCAGAAAAAAAAGAACAAAAGTACTGCATATATAATAGTTGTTAAATAAATAGGTGGTGAATCTCAGAGACTGATTATTCATTCTTATTGATAGTTTAATCTTATAGTATAGATCCCAGCATTTAGAAGTTGCTTAAGAAATATGTGTTGAATCAGACTGGATTCAATAATATCACTTGGGCAACTGTTGAAAAAAGAACACATTTGTATGTAGTTCTAGGACAAATGCTGATCCATTCTAGCTGAATCAGAGAATTAATTACTGGAGTGACAGATAGATATCTATTTTAAAACCCTGTATTAAAGTAAAGCTTCAATATATTATCTTACCCCTGGTTCGATGTTTGATATCAGATTCAGCTTCATTCTCCTGTTTTTTGTCTTCATTAGTGGAAATGGCATCCAATTCATGGCAGATGAGGCTGCAAGTAACAGAACAAGAGAACAGCACATGAATCCTATAAAATTTACTGTGAAAAAATTATTTAGCCAACCAAATTTGGGATGTTCTAAACACCATGATCTCTTCTTGGAGTTTTTCATGCATGTTATATGAAAGATTGGGAAATACTGTAGTAAAAGCTACTTTTAATCTGTTTAAGTCAGAATTTCCTAAACTTATTTGACCTTAATCTTTTTCTTACATAACAGCAGCTAAAAAAGCTTTATTGTTCTATTAGGGCATCATCATGTAACCTTTGAACCTTTTTTGGTTTCCATACCAAATATACCATTCCCATGAAACTACTTCCTCTAAGTATGAAGCTAATCTAATTTATTTAAAATTTCAGAACAATAATCACAAACAGGGAGTGATCAATGATCTGAAACATACCTTATGGTTGGAACAGTAAATGGATCAAATTGGTCCAGTGTGTGCAAATCAATAGGCACAGATATGCGACCTGAAAGAAGCAAAAATTATAAACTGATGATTGTGGACTATAAATCATTATAGGTGCCTCCTGCAAGTTATTTTTGGTTAAAATTTTTATCTAAGGCTTAGACAAAGGGTTAAACCTACCTGTTAACAACAGTAGTTAGAAATATAAATTAAAGTACTTTCACATTAGCTGTGCCATTAGTTTTTTTTTTTAAGAGTTAAGGTCTCACTTTGTCACCGGTGCTGGAGTGTAGTAGCATGGTCATAGCTTACTGCAGGCTTGAACTCCTGGGCTCAAGTGATCCTCCTGCCTCAGTTGTCTCTCAAAGTGCTGGGATTACAGGCATGAGCTACTGTGCCTGGCCACTTTTTCAGTTTTTGTTGAGTCAGGGTCTCACTAAATTGCCCAGGCTGGCCGTGAACTCCTGGCCTGAAACAATCCTCTTGCCTCAGCCTCCTGAGTTGCTGGGAATACAGGTGTGAACCACCATGTTCAGCATGTCTTTTATTTCTCTTTAAAAAATAGCCAACAAATAAATAAATAAATAAAACAGATGTGAAGACTGTTGAGCTGTTTTCCAGTTGCTCTTATCCGTACTTTCATTTATATATTTAGAAATAAAGTATATTGGCCGGGCGCGGTGGCTCAAGCCTGTAATCCCAGCATTTTGGGAGGCCGAGGCGGGTGAATCACAAGGTCAAGAGACTGAGACCATCCTGGTCAACATGGTGAAACCCTGTCTCTACTAAAAATCAAAAAATTAGCTGGGCATGGTAGCGTGTGCCTATAATCCCAGCTACTCAGGAGGCTGAGGCAGAATTGCCTGAACCCAGGAGGCGGAGGTTGCGGTGAGCCGAGATTGCGCCATTGCACTGTAGCCTGGGTAACAAGAGCGAAACTCCGTCTCAAAAAAAAAAAAGGAGAAATAAAGTATATTTAAATATTTCATTTTTAAGTTCAGGACAATCTCAGATTTAGTGAGTCATAAAAAAAGGCAAAATATATGGAAATATTATATTTACACTGGCTTGGTTTATTTATTGAGATCAATACAGGTAGCCACATTTCAGATACTTTTAGAAAGCATTTCGGAAATGAAATAGAAATTACTCTTTTATAATACCCCCCTTGGATACCATATGGACTTCAACACATCTCAAAAATGACATAAGGAGGCTGGGTACAGTGACTCACATCTGTAATCCCAGCACTTTGGGAGACTGGGCTGGTGAATTGCTTGAGCTCAGGAGTTTGAGACCAACCTGGGCAACACAGCAAAACCATGACTACAAAAAATACGAAATATTAGCTGGGTATGGTAGCACATGCCTGTAGTCCCAGCTATTCAGGAGAGTGAGGCAGGAGGATTGCTTGAAATTGGGAGATTGAGCCTGCAGTGAGCCTAGATTCCACCACTGCACTTCAGCCTGGGTGACAGAGTGAGCCCTGTCTGGAAAATAAACAACAAAAACATTCCTTTCCTTTCCTTTTCCTTTCCCTCCCTCTCCCCTCCCCCTCTCCCCTCTCCTTTCCTTTCTTATGAGACAGGGTCTCATTCTGTCGCCAAGGCTGGAGTGCAGGTGGCACCATCACAACTCACTGTAGCCTTGACCACCCAGCCTCAAGTGATCCTCCTGCCTCAGCCTCTTGAGTAGCTGGAACTACATGCATGCACCACCTTGTCTGGCTAATTATTGTATTTTTTGTAGAGGAGGGGTATAGGCATGTTGCCTAGGCTGGTGTCAGAATCTTGGGGTCAACTGATCTGCCCACTTTGCCCTCCCAAAGTCCTGAGATTACAGGAGAAAGCCACCACATATGGCCACACACAATTTTCTTTTTATGACCTTGTATAAGTTACATCTTGGACCACTGTTTTCTCATCTTACAATGAGAGCTGTTCTAAGATTTTGATTGTCCTCTCCAAATCTAACATGGAACCTCAGAAACCCCACTGAAAAACAGTTACATAGTAGAAATTCATCTGGTAGCTACTTAACTGACAATATAAAAATCTAATCGGGCTGGGCACAGTGGCTCACACCTGTAATCCCAGCACTTCGGGAGGCTGAGGTGGGCAGATCATCTGAGGTCAGGAGTTCAAGATCAGCCTGGCCAACATGGTGAAACCCCATCTCTACTAAAAAAAAAACAAAAAATTAGCTGGGCGTGGTGGCACATTCCTGTAATCCCAGCTACTCAGGAGGATGAGGGAGGAGAATTGCTTGAACCTGAGAGGTGGAGGTTGCAGTGAGTCGAGATCACGCCACTGCACTCCAACCTGGGCAACAAGAGTGAAACTCTGTCTCAAAAACAACAACAACAAAACACTAATTTAGGTATTAGGTGACAGCAATTCTTTTACCTTTAAAAATCATAGGACATCATATATATCCAGACCTAAAGCCATGCTTACTAAAGCCAACAGCAACTTATTTTTCTTTTAGTTTTCCTTAGTTTCTTCATGTAGTACCTGTTTTAGGATGCACACTAAAAGGACTCTTCAGTAGATGATTGATTCCTTTGCTGACATTGATATCCAGCCGTGGAAAACAGTACTGGAGCATAATCTCCCACTCCAGCCAGGGTCCACATTTGTCATTTTTGATGTTATTCTAAAAGCAGATACAAGGCCAGCATGAGGATCAGTAGGAATTGTTGAGGATTTCTTTAAAGAAAGTTAAAATAATGATCTTCAATGATCTTTAACTGACTAAGCAAAACAATCAATTTAATTAAGAATTGCATTATTATATTTATAATATAGATTTCAATGGAATATACCTGACATTTGCTGGCTGCTTTCTTCAAGTGCTCCCAACGCTGAAGTGAACTGTGAGACTTTTGGAAGCTTTGTTGGAGTTCATCACGAATTGGTGATGGGTCATTAAGGAACAGACTCATTTAGGGGACGTCAATGAACAACTTAGTTTTCAATATGTATTACCACAAGGGTATCTTTTTTTTTTGAGATGGAGTTTTGCTCTTGTTACGCAGGCTGGAGTGCAATGGAGTGATCTCGGCTCACCGCAACCTCCGCCTCCTGGGTTCAGGCAATTCTCCTGCCTCAGCCTCCTGAGAAGCTGGGATTACAGGCACGCACCACCATGTCCTGCTAATTTTTTGTATTTTTAGTAGAGACGGGGTTTCACCATGTTGACCAGGATGGTCTCGATCTCTTGACCTCGTGATCCTCCCGCCTCGGCCTCCCAAAGTGCCTGGGATTACAGGCTTGAGCCACCGTGCCCGGCCTCTTTTTTTTAATTCAGTCTCTGTACAGACTGCCAAAAATTGCCAACTCCGACTATATTTCAAGTCTCATGGTGGTGTATTTGAAAATTTTTTCAATTAGTGATAATCATGCCTTGGATAAACCTCACTGGCTATGATACTGCCACTGTGCAAAGCTTCCACAAGGGTATCTTATAAATATTTAGACAGTAATTATTAATGTTTCTTAAAACATAAATGTTGGCCAGGCATGGTGGATCACCTGAGGTCAGGAGTTCAAGACCAGCCTGGCCAACATGGTGAAACCCCATCTCTACTAAAAATACAAAAATCAGCTGGGGATGGTGACACATATCTGTAATTCCAGCTGCTTGGGAGGCAGAGGCAGGTGAAATGCTTGAACTTGGAAGGTATAAGTTGCAGTGAGCCAAGATTGTGCCATTGCACTACAGCCTGTGTGATAGAGTGAGACTCCATCTCAAAAAACAACCCCACAAATGTTAAAACTCAACAGTTGTATCTAGCTGGGCACAGTGGCTCAAGCCTGTATTCCCAGCACTTTGGGAGGCCAAGGTGGGTGGGTCATTTGAGGTCAGGAGTTTGAGACCAGCTTGGCCAACATGGTGAGACCCACATCTCTACTAAAAAGAATACAAAAAATTAGCTGGATGTGGTGGTGCGTGCCTGTAGTCTCAGCTACTCAGGAGGCTAAGGCAGGATAATTGCTTGAACCTGGGAGGCAGAAATTGCAGTAAGCAAGATTGTACCACTGCAGTCCAGCATGGGTGACAGAGTGAGACTCTGTCTCAAAAACAAAACAAAACAAAACAAAACAAAACAACAACAACCAAACGAACCAATACCAGTTGTATCCTTGAAATCTTCCCCTGTAGAAATATTGTGATAATAAACAGAAAGAATGCCAAAATAACTAAAAGGTATAATGTAAAGTTTTCCATGATCTGCATGTATTTTGACTATATGATTCACCATTCTTTAGCCATTAATTCCAGGACCAACTTCTAAAATGAGAAAACTGATTCGCAACATGGCCTCATTTTTTAAAATTTGTGCCAGACCAGAGATACTGAACTCTAGAAATACAGGAGATATTTTGTATAAAAAAGATTATAAGTATATGAGAACCTACAAGCAGACATATCTACACATTTATAATATCACAGATCAAAACAACTAGTTAACACAGAAATGATCACAGGAAAGGATATTTTCAGGAACAAGGGCTAAAATCTTATCCCAGCTTTCTTTATTTTCGAGAATATCTTGATTAACCAAGGCATATTCTTCAAAGTATTTATTTATTATGTTTATAGATTTTCTGTAGGAACAACAATAACAACAGAGTCCCAACACTATTAGCAACACATATGCCACACAGGTATTGTGGCCACTGTGGGGAAGACTACTGCTTTTCATTTTCATGACATTTTTAGAACTTAATTATGTAAAATGGGAATATTATCCTTTTTAGGGTTATGATAATTAAATGAGACACTTTAAGGGAAAATAATCTGGCACAGAATAGGTATACAAGAAATGTTTACTTTTTAAACCGCATAACTTAGAAGGTTATTATATGCAATAAGGGTAGAAAGCAACCAGCCTAGGACACCATAATACATCAATAGTAGAATGGGGGATGCAGAAATTCACAATTTCCACTGTGAATTGCTTGTATTAACATCTCAACGATCATATACTGTTTGCAGTTTACAAATATGCTTAACATTTACTCTTTCACTTAATCATTGCCACAACTCTGTGAGACAGGTAGATGTTGTCCCCCCACCCCCATAGAGATAAGGAAATGAGCAGCAATATTTTATCAAGATCATAGTAAGTGGCAGAATAGGAATTTTTACTTCTAATGCTTTTCCCACTATCCTAGAGAAGTAGTGAATTCAGTGTAAAAAGCACGGGCTTTGGAGTCATGGAGACCAGGGCATGAATCCTAAATTTAACAACTAACTTGTGTAATGCCAAGCTTAATATACAATCTAAAACTCACTCTCCTTATCTATAAATGGAGATACCATCAAGTCTCTTGTGGGGTTGCTGTGAAGAGCAATGAGAACATCTATAAAGCACCTATTACGAATACTGCAGCATAAAATAGGCACTGAATTAACTATAGCTATTATTATTATTAAATGCTACCCAGCAGTGAAAATTGACAGCAAGGTAACTCTAAAGGCACATGTTGGTAAATCAGACACCTTGAAGTGCATGGAGACTTTTCCAACAGACCTGATAAAAGGATGAATTTTTTCACTTAGGTGAACTTTCTTTTTAACGTCTTGACCACCCTGAAAAATAAATCATCAAAAAAAAAAAAAAACTTCATATATACAACATAAAAGAAATACAATCATGTGCAGTATAATGACGCTTTAGTCAATGATGGACAGTATATAAGATGGTGGGTCCTACTGGGAGTGGTGGCTCATGCCTGCAATCCCAGTACTTTGGGAGGCTGAAGTGGGTGGATTACCTGAGGTCAGGAGTTTGAGACCAGCCTGGCCAACATGGCAAAACCCCATCTCTATTAAAAATACAAAAAATTAACCAGGCTTGATGGTACATGCCTGTAATCCCACCTACTCAGGAGGCTGAGGCAGAAGAATCACTTGAACCTGGGAGGTGGAGGTTGCAGTGAGCCAAGATCGTGTCACTGCACTCCAGCCTGGGCAGCAAGAGCAACACTCCATCTCAAAAAAAAAAGATGGTGATCCCATAAGATTGTAATACTGTATTTTTACTGTGACTTTTCTATGTTTAGGTATGTTTAGCTACATCAATATATCAATACTTACCATTGTGTTCCAACTGCCCACAGTATTAGTACAGTAACATGTTGTACAGGTTATAGCCTAGGAGCAGTAGGTTATACCATATAATCTAGATGTATAGTAGGCTATACCATCTGGGTCTGTTTAATTATACTCCATGATTTTGCACAGTCATGCATTTCTCAGGATGTATCCTCGTTGTTAAGTGATGCATAATTGTAATTAAAAAATTTCTAGGGCTGGGCACAGTGGCTCATGCTGTAATCCCAGCACTTTGAGAGGCCGAGGTGGGCAGATCACCTGAGTCAGGAGTTCGAGACCAGCCTGACCGATATGATGAAACCCTGTCTCCACTAAAAATACAAAAATTAGCCAGGCATGGTGGCAGGTGCCTGTAATCCCAGCTACTTGGGAGGCTAAGACGGGAGAATTGCTTGAACCTGGAAGGAGGAGGTTGCAGTGAGCCAAGATTGCACCACTGCACTCCAGCCTGGGCAACAGAACGAGACTGTCTCAAAAACAAAAAAAGATTCTTAGGCCAGGTGCAGTGGCTCACACCTGTAATCTCAGCACTTTGGGAGGCCAAGGTGGGAGGATAGTTTGAGTTTAGGAGTTTGAGAACAGCTTGGGCAATAAAGTGAAACCCTGTTTCTGCCAAAAATTAGCTGGGCATGGTGCTGCATGCCTGTAGTCTCAGCTACTCAGGAGGCTGAGGGAGAAGGATCACTTGAGCCCAGGAGGTCAAGGCTGCAGGGAGCTGTAGTCACGCCACTGTACTCTAGCCTGGGTGACAGGGTGAGACCATGTCTCAAAGCAAAGCAAAGCAAAGCAAAACAAAACAAAACACCCAAACCAAAACCAAACTTTAATATGTTCTATTATTTTACATGTAACAAATCTATTTTATCATTTTACATATGTCACAAAGGAAGATTTATAGTGAAATGAAATATCTTAAAACATGTAGCTACTATGGCTGGGCGCAGTGGCTCACGCCTGTAATCCTAGCACTTTGGAAGGCCAAGGTGGGCGGATCATGAGGTCCGGAGATTGAGACCATCCTGGCCAACATGGTGAAACCCTGTCTCTACTAAAATACAAAAATTAGCCAGGCATGGTGGCATATGCCTGTAGTCCAGCTACTCGGGAGGCTGAGGCAGGGGACCTGCTTGAACCTGGGAGGTGGAGGTTGCAGTGTCTGAAATCGTGCCACTGCACTCCAGCCTGGATGACAGAGTGAGACTCCATCAAAAAGACAAAAACAAACCAACAACAAAAAAACATGTAGCTACTATGACTTTAAATGATCTATCGGTAACTTCATTTACTCTACAATGTGAATGCCATTAAAGATAGTTTTATTTTATTTGACAATAAACATATCAGGCTTGGTAACATCTAGAAAATAAAGCAGTGCAAATTAGAATTCAGAGGACCTTACCTTTACAAGGCTCAAATACTCAACTATCCCAGAACGTACTGCAGAAGACAATTTTCTAACTGATTCATCACAGACCCAACAATGAACACCTCTCCTTCCAGAATATACCCAGAGACGATGCTTAAATCCAAAGTCCTCTGAAGAGAGAAATAATAGGTTTTAAAACCAATCTATAAACTCCTTAACTATTATATATTAAATTACTTGTTTCCTATGGTCCCCATGTTCTTGCTTCATTTCTTTACCCATCCTGGCCTCTCTGCCAGGAAATTCTTTTTTAAAAACTTATTTTATTAAAAAAAATTTTTTTTAACCAATTATTTATTTATTCGGAGATTGGGTTATGAGACTGGCTAATTTTTTTATTTTTGGTAGAGATGGGAGTTTTGCCATGTTGCCCAGGCTGGTCTCAAACTCCTGGGCTTAAGTGATCCACCAACTTTGGCCTCCCAAAATACTGGGATTACAGGAGTGAGCCTCTGTGCCCAGCTTCTGCCAGGAATTTCTTTATGCCCCAGTGCTTCCAACTGTCCCTGACCCATTGCCATTTATCCTTAAAGAATTGCTCTAGGAATATTAAAAGAGCTAACATATTTACAGTGCTTAGAACAGCGCCTGGCACATAATAAGACCCCTATGAAGAGAGTTAACTACCATCATCATCACCATTACCACCTCCGTTGACAAGCCTTTTCTCTCTCTCTCTTTTTTTTTTTTTTTTGAGAACCTTTCACTTTTGTTGCCCAGGCTGGAGTGCAATGGTGTGATCTCAGCTCATGCAACCTCCGCCTCCTAGGTTCAAGCAATTTTCCTGCCTCAGCCTCCCAAGTAGCTGGGATTACAGGCATGTGCTACCACGCCTGGCTAATTTCTGTATTTTTAGTAGAGGCGGGGTTTCTCCATGTTGGTCAGGCTGGTCTTGAACTC